GGCTCTGTCCTTTAAATTGAGAATCAATATCTGACTTAAGCTCACACATTTAAAATATTAGGCTGATCCCTACTGTGCAACAACTTGAAATAAGTACTCCAGTACTATCAGCAGAAAACTGCTCTTTCAAATGAGCTTAGCTCTGCTAAGTATAAAAGGTTATCTTACTAACTGTGATGGCTTACACAGACCACTAAAAGAAACAACTCTTCCTAAACGATTAGTTGCTGCCATATTTACATACAATACACAGAAGTACTATCAAGATACTTTAGGAGAACATCTAGAGGTACTCTTAAGAAGGCCTCCATGATTCCCATCTCCTGATGTCCACATCCCAGTGTGATTCCCTTTCCTTGTGTGACTGGCTTCCAAAAAATAGAGCATGGCAAAGGTGACGGGATGTATGTGCTTACGTGTGCACTATCATGTGATTATATGACATTAGCTTGTAGTCCCTATTACACTTCTCACCATGTAATGGAGACAAAAAAAGGATTACTCAAAGCACCATGAATGCGATGAGAAGCCCAAAGGAACTGCACCTCAGCAACTCCTCTGTTAGAAAGAGAAAACTGGGTACAGCCCTGATTCAAAGTTAGCTTCTGTTTTTTATTGCAAAGACAAGAAAGTTTCACAAGAAAAATCAGTTGATTCAATTATTACAAAAGGACACAAAGACATGGCAGTGTTACAAAAGTTATCTATGGCTAAGTATAGCTTAAACAATGGAAACAGTAAAATTAATGATGTGACATTCCAAAGTACAATTTGTGAAAAGCTAAGTTGGTCAAACTGTGATCATTATCTAAGTATAACCTCTCCTTAAGTGATATAAGGAAAAGTTGCATTCTTATGATAAAATCTAAGTATTATTATCTCTAAAATTTCCACCAACAGACAACTTGCCCCTAGCAAACATTTTTTCACATCTTTCCCTTCAGCAATTTTTAAAATCTCTCAAGAGGATTGGTATGACAACTATCTGTTAGCTCTAGAATCATTAAAGTATACAATCCCATACCTAAGTAGTGATTAGAGTTGATTAGATGGGTTGTTGCCACACTATCTGTGGGCTGTGGCCCCCTGACCAGAGACTTTTGTCCCATACATGGATTACCTAAAAACTCTATTCTAAAAATCAAATGAGAATCAAGATTTCTAACCTTCTACAGTGCCCATCTTGCTGGAGTCTCTCTCCCATGCTGGCTTTGAGGAAGCTAGCAACCATGTTGGGAACTCCATGTAGCAAGGAATTGCAAGTGGTTTCCCGAAGCTGAAAGCAGCCTCCAGCCAATAGTTTGTAAAGGTCTCCAGCCACCACCCAACAAAAAAAGAGAATCCCTCAATTCTGCAATAGCAAGGAACTGAATTCTGCCAACAGACTGAGTGAGCTCAGAAGTGGATCTTCCCCAGTTAAGCCTCAGAGACCGCAAACTGGCTGACACCTATTGCAGCATTGTGAGAACCCCCCTGAGCAGAGGACCCAACTAAGCCACACCTGGACTCCTGATTCACAGAAACTAGGAGATAATAAGTGTGTGTTGCTTTAAGCCACTTAGATTGGGGTAATATTGTCACATAGCAATAAATAACTGATACACAGCTTCTCCACCTCTTTTTGTCTTTCTTGTCCCTGAAATTTTTGAAGCACACAGGCTAGTTATTTTATAGAAAGTTCTTCAGTCTGGGTATATTTGAAGTTTTCTCAGGATTACATTCAGATTCTACATTTTTCACAGGAATAACACAGAAGTGATGTTGCATCCATCTCAGTGTATTCTATTAAAAGGTATATACTTTGGGGTTGTCCCAATATAAGTCATATTAAATCGATCACTTTGATAGGAAGGTATCCACAAGGTCTCTGCATTGTAAAGCTGCTATTTTCCAACGGTAACTTGTGAGGAAATACTTTAAGACTATGTTAATATCCCATTCATTGTCAAATTCTCACCTATTAGTTTTAGCAGCCTTTACTGATTTTCTAAACTGCGTGATTCTTTTTATATTCATTAGTCAGCATTCTCCCGTAAGGAGGTGCTAACATTCGTGTACTGGAAACTTAATCTCTAGTGCAACAGTGTTGATAGGTGGGAACTCTGAGAGGTGATGAGGTCATGACCGCTCTGCTCTCATCAGTGAATTCATGCTGCAATGGTGGGAATGGGTTAGTTATCGCAGGAGTGGTTTCCTGATATGAGGAAGAGTTCTGGCCTCCTTTCTCTCCTGTGAGCACGTGTGCTCTCTTGCCCTTCCGGCTTTTGCCATGGGATGATGAAACATTTGATCATCCATGATTTTGTTTGTTTTTTTTCTAGTTGTATGACCAAAATCTTTAACAGTAAAGGTAGGTAAAAGTCAAATAATGTAGAACCTTGTAAGCCTTGTTAGAAGAGAATTTGAGTTTTATTTTACAACAATGGCAATACTTTGGAGGCCTTTATGTTAAGTCATTGCATATTTATTTGTTATAAATAGCATTAGCAGCATTTTCAAATTATTCCCTGACAATGTTTATTATTTGCTTATTCTTCAACTCATTCCAAAACAAGATTTAAGCAATCTGTCCCAATGTAAAAGATAAAATAATTGAGCAAACTGGGATAAAGAATAAAATGGAGCTGGAAAACAAGAGGTCAGGGTGAGGTAAATTCAAAAGTTAGAAGAGATATTGTCACAAATTTTATCTGAGCTTCGTAGAGACTAGAACAGTTTGAAACACTCCTGCCCCCCATACCCTTGTGATATGTTCCTCAGGTAAATGGCCATCACAGTAATCACCATCTATACCACAATTAAGATTCACTGATAGGAGAATCCATGGCTTGTTCTTCTTGCAGCAATTTTTCAGAAACCTTCCTGGTTTCTGATAATTTAACCCTTTTGGGTTAGGAGAGGAAAAGGAAATTTAGATATTGCCTGTTCCCTTAGTCCATTTGTTCTGCTATAACAAAATACTAAAGACTGGGTAATTTATAAACAATAGAAGTTCATTTCTCACAGTTCTAAAAGCTGGGAAGTCCAAGGTCAATGCACCAGCAAATTCAGTGTCTGGTGAGGGTTGCTCTCTACTTCCAAGATGACACCTAGTTGCTGCATCCTCTGCAAGGGCCAATGCTGTGTCCTCACAGGATGGAAGGGACAGAAGGGATGAACTTGCCCCTTCAAGCCCTTTTATAAGGTACTAATCCATTCATGAGGGCAGAGCCCTCATGGTCTAATCACCTCCTGAAGGCCCAGATTCTTAATACTGTTGCACTGGGGATTAAGTTTCAACATGAATTTTGGAGGTAACCCAAACATTCAAAGCATCGCACCTGTTTAATCAAGGTAGCTAGCCAAAGCAAACAATCCAAGCCAAAAATACATTCCGTCTTTAGTAGGTAAGTAGAGTTTTAAATTATAATTGACTTCCCATTAGGAGGAATCCATGAATTTCCACAGGAAAAAACCGAGCACGGAGGAGAAAGTCTCTATTTTGTGAGCTCTGTAATCACTATCACAGTAACAAATTAGGAGAGAACTCTCATTTTAAAATCTTATATAATTTATCATGCATCACTTCACTCTCTACTGCTTTGCTTTATATTGGTTGTAGTTATTTGCATACAATTGTAAAGTTTCAGAGAAACTAAAATTATAAAAGGACAATTATTCAATGCAGGAAAGATAATCCATTGCACTGGGGGATTGGATGACATTTTTAAAAGTTCCCATATTATCAATTTAATTATGTGTTTCTATGTAGTGAGTAATGCCTTACATTCTTGCCAAGAATATTTTGAAGGGAATTTGTTAAAAGTATGTCAGCTAAATCACGTTTGTATATCACTGCTGATGGTGTCATTCACACATTTTACAACATACAATTCCAGATTTAATTCTGCCAAAAAAAAAAAAAAATGAGGTCATTACAAAATGTCATATAAAAACTGTAAATTTGTCACAGGGAGATGGGGATGAGGATAAAAGAAAGGAAGACACCAACTCCTTTCTTCAAAGCATGATAGGGATAGGACAAAATAGGGTAGGAAGGCTGAGCCCTTTTAAAAGGATACTTTGGGTAGAATATTAATTCCAGTTAAATAAAAAATGATACATCACTTTAAAATTGGGCTAACTGGTTGCTCTCGACTGTACCCGGGTAGTGCCAGCGCTCTCAAATTAACCTAATTGTACAGAAGTGCCCTTGTTTTCTAACTTCATACACAAAACACCCGTGATGATTTCAGTTTGCTTTTTCTTTTTCCAGAAAATGGGTTTTTTTTTTTTTTCCAGTTATGAAAAGGGGGTGTTTGATGCAATGGCTACAGGCACGTAATTTATAATTATTGTTGTTATTGACATTAAACACGGGTATGGCTTTGTTGGAAGCTACCCTACACCCGCAAATCCGTCTTGTTGGCACACACCCCAGTTCTCGGCTCTGCCGGGGCTGGGCTCCAGGGCGGTAGGTCGGTCCCCGCCCCTTCCAGACACAAGCGTTGGGCTGGAGAAGATCGAAGCGGGATGGTCATTGTACTTCCAGGCCCGAGGAAAAGCGCCCACGGTAGCACCATCTCTCACTTTCGTGGGAAAATTCCCCTAGGTGCCGCCTTCACGGCTGGGGATGGGTCCCCCACATCCGAGCTTGCCCTTCCTAGAGTGGGACACTCTGCAAACACACCCTCAGTCACCTTTGCGAGCTCCCCAGAAGCCGGCTTGGCACACAGCGCACCCCAGCGGCTGTGTGGTCTCGTTCTAGCCACAGCCACTTGGCTTCCGGAGAACTCCCCGGTCGCCACGGCCGCCGCCTTGGAACCAAGGGACTCGAGAGTCTGCGAGAGCAGATCTCGGCCAGGCCCCAGGGAGGGCGCGGAAGTGCGCCCGGCCACGCCCGCCACACCTGGGAGCAGCGAGGACCTGGAGGGGCGGGGCAAGGCGGGGCAGGGGGCCGGCCCGGCGCCAGGACAGCTTCGCAGAAAGCCAGCCCGACTGCAGCGAGGCGAAGGGGGAGGGTCTCGAGGCACAGTCCTGCTCCCTCCTCGGGAGGGACCCCAGCCGAGGTGGAGAACCAGCACCCGCGAGCCGCAGGGACGCGCGCCGCCGACCATGGAGCTGGCCGGCCCCAGCTCCGGACGGCCGCAGCAGCAGCAGCGGGACCAGGACTCGGTCGAAGCGTGGCTGGACGATCACTGGGACTTTGCCTTCTCTTACTTTGTTAGAAAAGCCACCAGGTAAGAAGAGGACCCACGGAAGACCCGGCCGGGGCATGGAGCGTGACGTGGGGCTGATCTCTCTCCCCTGTTGAGTTTTGCCCTTCGTTCAGTAGGACACAACCCCTGTTCCCAGGCCCTTTGCTTTTGAAATAGATCCTCGGTTCTGTTACGGGGTGGAGACCTCGACTTTAAGCCAGCGCAGTCGAAAAACTCAAGCGTCGGATTCGATCTAACTTGCTCACAAAGTAAAAATACAACAATGTCCGGGCGTAACCCCCCCCCCCCGCCT